GGCTTACATTATGAATTAGACACAGTGGACACGAAAACGTTGTGTGTATTTAAAATTTCTGGATAACTATTAATAAACAGCGTTAGTAAGTCTAATTATTCTTTGACATTGAGATAGACTACTTCACTATCACCTTTGTATTGCAATGTGATCGTTGAAAAATAGAGTGTTTCTGGCTACGGGTCTCACTATAGTCTTATATAACCATATAAATCAGTATTAAAAAAAAACTAATCTACTTACAGATATTCAAATAAACCATCATCGAATTAGGAACTTGATGACAGAGAATAATGTTATAGTTGAAAGTGGAACAAACGCGACTCTATGCGAATGTAGCTTAATGTTCAATGGGCCAAGCAAAAGCCGGCTCAACTGAAATTCAGTTCACTAGGTACGCGCACTACAGAATTTAGATAGGAGATTCCCTTATCGACACCAACGCCCTAACTGAATTAATGTACCTAATTTCAATGGTGATTATTGAAACAATAATGTTGCCTTACAATAATATAACATAATTAGTGTGGAAGTTTGTAAAGATTCCCAATATCTGGATGTTGGGGCCTCAATTATTTATTTGGTAAATATTAGTAGGTACAGTAAGATTTTTTATGCAATTTAAAATAACAAACATGCTAATGGCTCAAAAATAAAAGTACATATTTTATCATATTAATATTTTGCCATGCTATATATTATATGATATTTATTAATTTTTATATGCATCATCTAAAAATTAATAAATATCTAGTACATTTAAAACATACTTATGACAAATTTATCAACTTCTAAGTACATTTTGTGCCAAAAATTCAGATGTAATATACCCATAAACTAAAAATTATAAAATTAAGGTAAAAATAAAGCAAATGTTTGCTTAATTAGCATATTGAATAGTACAACTCTACGCATTAAAACTGGAAACGAAAAGTTGAGCTATGACGTCAAATGTACCTAATTAACAACATACAATTTATTACTCTAATTCTAAGCTATACAAACACGAAGATTGAACATTATTTATCAAAGTTTAACCTTTAAAGTCTATCCGAAATACTGTACTAAGGAACATTATACCTATGTATTATTGTAGATATTGTACATATATTATTACACATACTAAAATAATATTTATTATGTTAACAAAACATTTGGTACATCTTTCAAAGAATGAATTAGAATATTATTAAAGAACTGTACATAAACAATATCTATGTCTAACTGACATAAATATAAACACTAACATATTTTAACCACCCTCCTTGCCTTCTAATCGTTCATCATACGTAATATTGCGTGATCAATTCACGACGGAGTCACTGTGTTTATTAAATAAATAAATTTATTTTTAAATAATAGTGAATATAGGTGTTGTAATTTTGTCTGAAAAAATGACGAAATATGGATAAATTGAGTGCTATTACTTGAACAACGACATTGTAGGGCGGGGCAGTTTGTGTTGGAGAAAAATGTTTAATAGTGAACAATGAATGGCTGAAAGGATGACAGTTAATATTTTATCTACTTAATCTTAAAATTCTTCCTTTTCTAAAGAAAATAGAGTAATGCTTATCGTTAATTTATTAGATATGTATATAAAGCCGACGTCCGGTAAACCACGTCAAAGACTTTTGTGTATAACGAAGGCAGCCTAGAAACACTTGGGACCCGAGGGCTACACTCCCAGATGAGTAATAATAGTGGAAATGCTAAAAACAACACAAAATCAGAACTCCGAAATATCAATTTCAATATGGTAATCTTGTCTGCGGTATTGTTTACGTTCACAAAGTACTAGTGAAGGAAGATAGATCAGGATGAAGTCAGGTCAGTTGGTCAATCATTATAAATTTACTACAATATTTTTCCTCCGTTGCTAGCAATAAAGCCTCTACCTATTACTAACAATCTCTATTCCTCCCTGTATGGTTTGGTAACGCTCATTTAAGATATATACGAACACGTGTAATTAATACTTTTTGTTCGAAATAAAGAAATAATTATTATAAAGTGTTAAAGATTTATTTTACACTCGGTATTTTGTGGCTATGTCACATCCACTTATTTATATATCTACCGTATATGTGCAAGCGAGAGATAACTTTAGCAATTCAAAGCTACTATTTACTAGTTGTAGCCGAGAATCCGCACTAAATGTATCCCATATATCATTATAATCTATTCTTGAGATATAACAGCAATTTTAAGTATAGGCTATTTATCAAATTAAAATGAAATTTAGATTTACGTTACATAATTAATACTAGCGATCCGCCCTGGTTACATACCGGTAGATAGATAAAAAGATGAATTAGTATTTTATATTATTTTAATGCGCAAATTTTTCATATATTTTTTCATGTAATTTTCATAAGGATCTCTAATTTTTAAATAATATAACGCCCATGTTACTCGCTGATCAGGTAGCTTTTAATAGGTAAAATATTTTAAACTCGATTGTCTAGTTTTTGAATTTATCCATTACAAAAAAAAAATAAACACACATACAAATAATTCAAATCTTTCCATTTTATAATATTAGTATGTTATCTTTATGCATCATAAAATATAAATAAAGTGTCAATTGGTACTTTTTCATGTATGCTCATTTTGGCCTGAAGAATAAGGACAGTTAGTACAAAGTCTCAAACAAGAAGCACAACTAGACCATATAAGAATCACTTATCACCAGACTAAACAACATGTCTGCAGAGAAGTGTTATGTGTATGGGCCCAAAAGTCGACAATAAAATTCCAGAGAAATACAAATGTTTAAACATACATTTGTTTAAGAAATAATTGGAAAAAAAATATTAATTGACAAATGTTATTACAATATTGATGAATTTCTAAATGGCAAATTTTAATAAGAAATACATAAATGTATAATTATATAGACATTACTCTGTTTAAATATTGTTTAAATTTTTTACATATATTTTTAATATTATTTGTTATTGTTATATTATTATTAACATTAATTACAATATTTCTTTTTATAAAACTACAGTTTGTCAAGTAAAAAGTTTGCATGCTAATTTTGTCAAAACATGTTACAACATAATTAAAATAGCCATTATATATCTACTGCACACACATGTTTATGCAAATAAATTTATCTTTAACAGCTTATTTAATAGGATTTTACGGAGTGGGCGGGAACAGCCTGCTACAGATCTCTTTTATTCTCGGCATATGGTTTTATTTCAAGTTTTCCTTCTGTTACGCTATTTTTCCATAAACTCTACTATAGAGTTTTTTTTAATTTCAGAAACTCGATAAATATTATAATAGTTTAATATCAATTTGAAATAAAAATATATCTGTCACTAAGATACTACTGCGCATGTACTTACCTTATTGCGTGTTGACTAAGATACCTACTCAACAACTATATTTATTTAAATATTCAACCAAGTACGATAATATTAACAAAAATTTCATATTTGACTGAAATAGGTATTATCTTGCGCAAGTCCATATAGATAGTTATTTGACAAGAACTATTTTGTTTAAAAAGGAAATACGTATCGCAAAACGTGCTTGGATGAAATGGTAGTTGGAGATTGAGGACTAATATGGAAGGTTGTAGAACTTCTGGTAGTAATGATGGTGGTTAATCTTCGACTGTTCCCAGTCACACATATACTAATGCTACTGGCATTAAACAAAAAAAATGAAACCAAAAAAATACCAAGAATTTCATATGCAAATCACTACAACACTTAATAAAAAAGAACTGGTGAGCTTTTAAGATCTAAGTATAAATAAATAGATTAGAACTTTAAATAAATTATTATTTATATATTGATCTATTTGGTACAAACTAGAATACAAAGAACAGTAACTGGGCTTAAAACTGTCCTAAATATTAAGATAATGATATATCTGACTATCCTTCTCTTAAAAACAGAAATATGTGCCCAACAGTACAATCTTAATGATTGGTTGTACAAATATTATAATACGATTTTAATTATTTCAAATATATAAACAAATATTTAATTTAATTTATTTTTTAATCATAGCTCTATGTACCTATATACTTATTTTATGTGTATAAAATTAATATGTAATAAAAACTAAAAAAAAAACTATAAATTGTTAAACTCCTGTATAAATGTTAAATTGAATTTAAATTACGTGCTCTCAAGACTTTTATACGCCCAGAACCAATAAAATACGCCACAACAAAATTCTTAGAAGAAAAACGGCGGTTATGATAACCTAATAACCTCAAAAGGTTCAAAGTAAGCCCTTTCATGACAAGTCGCAATATCCACGAGGAAAGTCAAATGGAAAAGCGTAACCAATCTTAATGTCTTTGCTGCATGCACGAAGTAGGTTTCATTGCAAATATTTTCACACGTGATTAGAAACTGTAAATTTAAAATTTCCTATTGTAGTTGAGTATTATTAATTTGCATATGTACCTACCCTTCTTACTACATTACATTAAATTTTATTTTATAGATACATAAATAAAATAAGCAAAACCAAACATCTAGATATTAGATATATATAGATAAAAAAATATAAATATTATCAGTTACGTACTTAAGAAGGTAGGTATACTACAAAATCATCATTTAACCCTTCCATTGTTTATATAACATAAATTCCAAAATATGGGCATTATGTTGTAATCCTTTAAAAGTATATAGATAAATAAATCGATAAGCGAATCATCAACATTTTCTAAATTATACTCAACTCATAACCATTAACATTATGGTAATACGGACCAAACAAAGAGTAATCTCTTAATTAGCAAAACGTAAACAATGGCAATATAATACTAATGTCAAATTGACAGTGGATACTCATACAATATGCATTTGCTCTGCAGCCGATAGAAGTTGCATTTACTGATATTGTTTACTATTAAAATTTACAAGATAAATGATTAGAATCCATAGAAACTTTTATCGGTTGCTCTAGCTAGAGAAGCATTAGATTTACAAACGTCAAAATTTTCATTCATACGACAATCATACCAGTTATGTCTTGACTGCTTCAGCTAGTCATTCCTTATTTCACGAAACTTATTTATTTCCACGTGAGCTCAGTTTATACGACACTAATTAAATAAAGAGGGCGCGAGCAGAGGCGGGCGAGCGGCGGGTCGCACGTTCTACCCCGACGGCGGAACGGACAACACTGAACCTCCCCCCGGCCGCCGAACATCCCTTCAAAATCCTTCGCGCCATACCGATAAGGTGCAGCCTGCTATCCGCTCCTGTAAACTGCTAACTGCTCAAAGCACAGTCTTATTAGCATAAAGTAAATGCACCGTGTCGCTGGCAGTAAGCCTCTTGGATAAAGTTGAAAAAAGATAATGCAGATACGTTTTAGTTAATCTCTTGGAGTTTGTTATACTTTTATACAAAACCTTAATGGCTTTTGTCTACGTATAAAATGTAATTATGCCTGTAAATAGCACTATCTATGTTACGGTCTCACCGCCCACAGAGTAGTTGCTACGCCCGCGCTACTAATGGACTACCTTTGAAACATAATCCTTCCTAACCCAACCCACTTTTTAGAAACCCTGAGACATGCATTCTTAAACGTATTTTAATCGGATTAAACAGGTATTTTGTTTCGTTAATGCATCCCTGTGATTTTCTCTAAAAATATTAATTATAATATTAATTCGAAAACACATGCACCATTACAAATTACTGACTTATCAAACATCAACGTTATGCTTTAAAGAAGTAAAATATGTTTACACATTGAAAACAAACTATGCCTTCTAACTCTGGGAAAATCTAATTTCTTCTTCTCAGATATATACGGCAAGAAACAAGTGCATTTGTATTAATGGAAACTTTTCTTAAGTTAGATATATAATTAATTGGCATTACTTATAGTACACAAAAAAAAAACAGATATAGACTTACACAATAAAAGAAATAAAAGAATACATAAAAAAATCAAAATACATAAAAGAAGAAACATATTTTTTTCCTTTCGTGCTTATAGCATAGTAACACAAAATGGTAACAACTCAGTTGATTGCTTTGTCCCCAAAAGAGCAAAACACTAATCGATGGCTACAGTATTATATAGAACGTCGAAAATATCTATGATGATAAACTAGAACGATTTCAACAACAACATTTTATGTTACAATTTTCCAACCCATGCAGGTACACTTCACTTCAATGGTCTGAATAGAGCACTATGTCTTCGTCAACTATGTATTTGTACAATAATAATCAGTATCATTGTCCACTGCCTAACATAGACCTCTCCTATGCGCTGTCATTAAGCACATGTTTCCTTCCGTGATCTAATGTGAATGAAATGTTTCCAATATTACCATAGAAAGAATACTTACTATCCATTGGCCATTGACAAATCTTTCATTCTCATTTTCAAAAATCATCACACATTTAATATTTTCAACTACCATGAGTCGACGCACATCTGGATAAATTTAAATAGAAATATTTCAAAGACTTCTTCTAGCAACTAGCAACTAATAGCAACTTCTTCTAATTCAAAATTTGCAACCGTTTTAAAATGATAATTTTTTATTCGACTGTAAACAGGAGCTTATATCATTCAGTTATGTTAATTTTGTTAGATTGAAATATCTTTATTAGAGAACAAAAACTTATTAGAATGGCAAACAAACTGACGGTCCACCCGATGGAAAGTGGTCGACTTTAGACATAAGCAGTACCATGGACATAACACAGTATACCAGGTTGTCTGTAAGAGATTACTTTTAGCGATAAGGCCGCCTTTTGTATATGCACATTCTGTATAAATACTCCTTGTATACATCTCTTTTTTGCGCAATAAAGAGTTTATTATGTTTTGTCCATGATAGCCCCCATGCTTTGCCATTCCTAAGGACTCGGGTGTTATTTTCTTATACCCTGTAAATTCATTGCCATATCCCACCCTCCAAACCAAAACACAGCCATCCAAACACAGCTGCTTTACGGTAAAAATACGAATGGGACAGAGATGCCCAAGCAAACAACTTTTATACAAAGTCTCCCTCTGGTAAATACAATTAGTTCCTGTAACTCCACTCGTATTAAAAACTATTTACACCCCCACTCCCGTGATAATTCCTTTTATAGTATTCTAATTGATGCCACTAGATTTTATTGGCCCGATCGCTTATAACATAAGGTAACCTAACTTGAGGACCAAACGACAGATTGTTTAATTTGTCAAACAACCAGGTTCTCTTATAAAATAATATAATAAAATAATAATAAAGAGCGACGTTTCTGGAAAACCCGTTACTATGTTAATTACTAGTCAGTAAAGTAAAACAAGTCAGAAAGGAACTTCTGCATCTGAAATAGTTAGAGCAACTTTATACCAAAACTGGGCGTAATTTTAAATGCAAAAATTTGCATCCTCGGAATATAAGTAAAAATATACGGTTAACATTTTTTTTTTTTTTTATAAAAAATATAAGAAATTTGTTAGTTAAGTAAAGAAATTTTAGAACATTTGCGTTTACTTCATTCATTACGATTGTTTGAAGTACAATAACTCTCATTTAGGAAACGCGACAACACGAAATATCCTTGGATTCAAATGACGTGATCAAATATCAAGCCATATTCCACAAATTAGGTAAGTAATACACATTCATCACACATTATCAGAAACCATTCCTAAGAACTTAAATTCGTCGTTTCTCTACAGAAAAATCGTCAGTCACTGAACGACTGGGGACTGCCTTACATTCGGCTTGACAACACAAAAGTAGCTTTCCCATCTTCAAGATTAATATCTTTGTTTTGAGGATACATATTATTTTTTAATATTGTTTCACTCGACGCTTTTCCCTTGGTGCAAGAGAAGACCAAACGAAACCTGCTTTCTTTACAATTCTCTTAAAGATGCATGATTATGTGGTATACTTTTAGAATATCTAGTTAGTCTGTTAAGTTTAAAATACTAGGTGACAATCTAGCTAAAGCCCAGCAAACATCTGAATCACGAGTTCCATGAACTCTATTCAATCTGAAATTTGCAAAGCATGCAAAAATATGACTGGACGAGAAAAATACCTATCACTGTCGACTTACAGAGTTCTAGATCGTAGTTCTCCAGAAATACAGAAAAAGGAAAAGCATTCCATTCCATTCTTCAGCATTTTTCATTAGAAATACTAAGGTGAGTATATTTCGATTTATTATAATTCTGGCTATAATCCCGTGGCTTAACCCGCGTGAGTCAGTATATAAAGTATAAATCCTCCTCCGTGGTAAATTAGGATATAATCTATAAGTGTACTAAATTTTATTTAAATCCGTTCTATAGTTTTTACGTGAAAAAGTAAGAAACATCCATCCATCGTTAAATTTTTTTACATTTTAATAACATTTTCATTACATCATATAATTATAGACGTATCGTAACCCATGAGTTTTCTATCATAAATTAAAACGTTAATTAAAATATTAAGTATCCCTATGATCTAGAACACTATCAATCTATAAACTTATTCATTCATATCAATTTAGCCATTTAACCTTTATTAAATAGTATACTAGGATTTAAATTTTATTTGTACATTTTAATAATAATAATAAATTATTTAATTCAAGCAATTAATATACAGAAATTCAGTTCCCTGTACTGCCTGATACTGATACTGTTTCTTCTGGCAAGAACTCTGGACACATTTTATCGTAGTTAGTGTATTTGGTTATCTATTACAATAAAATATAGCATCGGCTAGATCGATAGTAGCTCGCAGACCATTGACACATAAATCTAGACGCACTAAATGTGGACCGAGGTGTAGAACAAGTGCGCGACCGCAGTGGCGCGTAGACGGTATGACACCGGAACAATGACTGTACTAACTACGCCCCATTTTTACAACAAAGTCACAACACGCAAGTACAACTCCATTTTTTTCTTGCTATTTCTAATAACAAACTAACTAATAGCCTACTTGATAGAAAATAGTAATCGTTACCTATATACGTGAAATAGTATCATGGATCTCTAAGGAAAACTATCTTATTGATACTCTTTGATTAGCGATAAGGCTACCGTTGCATATTTATCTTACATTTGTGTAATTAAGTTTTATTAATATTATTCATTTTATTTGTGTGCATAATGTTAATCTTTATAACTAGTATAATTTGTAATTGATAAACTCAATAAACCCTATTATTATTATTATTTATTCGTTTATCATTTGCCTAGGGAGCCGTCACCCAGTACAAAATTTTAGATATTTCTGTAGATACTCGTAGTATCTAATATGGATGTATTTAATAGACCATCATCATATCAGCGTTTTACTGTCCGTTGCAGAACATAAGCCTTCCCCTTGGAGGCTTTTGCCGGTAGTCACCACCCTTGGTAGGCGGATTCGCATCCGCAGTTAGGCTTTGAAGATGTTTTAAGAGAGACACTGCCGCCCGTCCCTCGCCCTCCTTAGCCGCCGCTTACGACATACACGGGAAAAAAAGGCATGGCCTATTCTATGCCGGGACTATACGGTAATAGATACCTAAGTGAAATAGATAAAAATCAGAACGCCAGAAAATTTACATGCAAGTATACCACCAGTATTATTAAGGTCAGGGAAATCTATTTTCTTTTTAAATTTGGTAATTTAAAAGGTCTCAAAACAAATTAGGCATATTTTACATCGTAATACAGTTTTACATACATATAGAAAAATAGATACTCTTTATTGCTTCCTTTAAAAGAATACAATAGTAAACTTGTTATAAATACAAACAATTACAAGAAATGATCACACTGGGAAAACAATGGGCGGCCTTATCGCTAAAAGCAATCTCTTCCAAGCAACCTATGAATGGAGAGGAGTAATTATAAATAGTTTGGTCGAAAGCACACTGAAAATTCTGCCATTATAAAAAATATGTCCAAATACATATGGAGATGCAATACATGCAATAATGTAAATATATAGTTCACCCTCATATCCTACAGCCTAAATAGTCGCAGTTTCAGAGATGTTTTCTCTCACGAACACTTAGGCTATGGAATAAGCTGCCTGCCGAGGTTTATCCAAGAAACTACAGCATAAGGGTTCTTTAAAAGGGGGGTAAAGAGGTTTCTTCAGCGTCGGCAACGCGCGCGTAATACCCCTGGTATTGTAGGTGTTCATAGGCTAC